ATTGATAAGCAATAAGCAATAAAACTAATGCTAAAAATAGATAAAAACAATATTTGAAGCAGTTTGTATATCGTGTCAAAACTTGAGCTTAATCGATACTACTTTTTGAGTTTTTGAGCAGTACACACTCTATTCTACTCTACACTCTACTCTACACAACCAACTTAAAACTTTAAATAGGTAGGTATATAGTTTTGAGGAGATTATAAAACGGTCTTGGTTAAAGAAATATATAGTGACAACAATTGAGACAGGAATTTTTAGTTACAAGTGAGTTTTGAATTGGTGTGAGCGAAGAGTGAAAGGCTAAAAAAGAGGTCAGTGCTTGAACCCCGAAAAACGTATACTGACCAGACTGGCAGTATACTGAAGATAGCTCAAGACTATTCAGATAACTATCGAGCATTTACAAAAGGTCTGACGATTGCGACAAAGGCGTGAGCTGATGTCAGGATCCTGGTGTAAATCTGGTGTTCAATCGTCTTTGACTATTATCTGTCCCTGTTGTTACACATTAAGTCATACCCCCACGTCATACAACTAGTACTGACACTGTATGTATGACAACGGGAGCAGTTTCCTGAACGACAAATAGGCAGAACCTACGATAAAAATTTGCGTTATCCATACTTTATTATAAATGTGAAAGTGAGTTTGTTTGTTTATTTGTTACGCTTTCACGGCTGAACCACTAAACCGATTTTAAAACTTCTTTTTCCATGAAGATCTGCATTATCATTAAGTAACATAGGCTACTTTTTAACGCGATAACAGACATATACACGCGGCAGAAGCCGTGGGTAAAAACCAGGTATATATAATATTCCTGGTTCCCCGGCTATTAGTACCCGAGACGGCGTGCGGTTTTAGTCGGTTCGAGTCCTACATGCCACCGACAGGTGGTATCCGAGGGGATTGCCGCACGGAAACAAAAAAAAAGAGTACCTATATATAATATTAATTTGGATTTATTAATGTTTTCTTACATAATCTATTTTTTTACACGCTTTATATTAGCTTCACTTGTATGTTTGTAACTGACTCCTTTGGGCGTGATTTTGACTGACTTTAAACGGTCAGAATTCGTTCAAACTTTGTAGATATATCGAGGACCGATGACAATACACTAATTTAAAAAATAAAAATGAAATTATAGTTTAAAAAAAGCTAAAAAACACGCTTTCCATAGAAAACCAAACTAAAAAATAGAAAATAAAAATGAAATAAAGCGTGAGGTGCTTTTTACCATTGACAACAAGCACCCAACGCTTTTTTTCAAATTTATTTTGTGTTTTTTAGTTTTTTAAACCTATTTTTTTTTGTTATGTTGCAAAATTAATGATTACAGTTGTAACTTACGAAAAAAAATATCGCGATAGTGAAAACTTTACAGAGACTTTCACAGTTTAGCTTTAATTTCAGTCACTGCTTATATAGCAAGAAAGTATGCATATACATACGGTTATCTATGTACCTAAATCATAGAGATGAAGCCTTATAATAATATCGAAGGGCCTGTTGGCCTAGTGGTTAGTGATCATGACTGCTAAGCCAGAGGTCGTGGGTTCGATTCCCACCCGGGACCAATATTGTGTGACGAGCACGCCGATAAATATAGGTATACTAGTATAATATTTATATTATTAATACTAAGGCTTTATACTAATTTCACTAATACGTATTAAACAAATAAATAAATCAAATGACCTGACCATACAACATAAACTTGCACGTTGCATTACCGCACACTTCCCACGCATGCGCTAAACAAATCACTTTACACATAGATCGCGTGTCGGCCACCTGCGCAGGCGCACTCTCACGCGCACCTACATATATTTACAATCACACACAAACACACCAAACTAGTCGTTAGAATTGTTCGACAATTAAATATAATTGCCTAGTTAATACTGGTCGGTGTTGTCACTTCCGTTGCTATTTGATTTAAGGTCTATATTTGATTATATCGAGAAGCGTGTGAGTTTAAATGGTAGCTAGAATAAATAAAAGAAAAGAGGCACGGAATAACAGGATTTTGTATAAACTTTTGACATTTAGTCAAAGGCAAGGCAGAAAATTTCAGGTAAATACCTAACTTCGGCTTTTATAAAATACGGTAGTTGATTGTTCAGTTGATTTCGGTATATCGTCTTTAATAAGCACCATAAATGCGCCTGCATTCTCATGAATTGTAACAAACTGTATTATATTCTTTAATTTTCACCCTCACGTGGTGGTATTTTTCATATTTAAATGGGAGCAAACTGGCAGCCTTGTCAAATAGAATACACATACAGCATCATACATCTTATGATGCTGCAACAATTGTCCTCCATTTTTAACCGACTCCCAAAACACAAAAGACAAGGTTATCAATTCGTCTGTATTTTTCGTTTTATTTATTTTTCTTTTTTTTCTGTATTTAACGTTTTTAAGTTAAATTAGAATTGTCAGGTTGCATGATTTGGCATAACTAAACCGTGATGCCTGTGTTTTAGTATTTCATACGCAACCTTTTTAAAGTATAGAGCTACTGATTTATAGACCATGTCCAAGATACGTAATTAGAGTATTGTCGATTAAACTACATGCCTGGGGCCTGTTGGTGTAGTGTTTGGCGACCCTGACTACTAAATCAGAGGTCGTAGGTTCGATTCCCACCCAGGACATATAATTGTGTGAAAAACACGATCATTTGTTCTGTGTTTGGTTGTGATTCATCTATGTATGTGTTTAGAAATATATATGAGTATGTTTTTCAGTAGTCTGGTTACCATAGTATAGACTCTGCCTAGTTTGGGAACAGAGGGTTGTGTGAGAGATGTGTCAGGTTATTATTATTAATTATTATAATTCAAAAAAGAGTGAAAAGAAGAAGCCCAAAATTGATCTAATTGGCGTACAATGGGAGAGACCTATGTCCAGCAGTGGACTGCGATAGGCTGATGATGATGATGATTATAATTCAAACATGTTATACAACAAAACCGTTCTTTATAATAGATAATAATATTAATTTGTGTGTGGTAGTCACAGTAGTAGAAGGTTTATAATATTAAAAGTACAGGCCACATTTCGCTATATTTAGAAAACATGCAAATATTTAAAATGTCACAGACAAAATTTTGAAACCAAACCTACATAACATTTTTTTTTTTTTTTTTTTTTTAAAAAGACAGCTCCCGCACTAGGAATAAATCCTGTGTCGCGGGGGACTTTACAAACATACATGAAACGGACACAAAGTACACCCAGACTCATAACAACAATTTGTGGATCACACAAAGTGTTATCCCATGTGGGGTTTGAACCCACAACACTCAGCGCAATAGAAAGTGGCGTGGCGACCGCTTAAACCACTACGCCATCCGTGCAGTTGATGACTAATTAAATTAAATACATTAAATTGATGACTAATTTGCTGTTGACCTTGTTAAATTCATTTTTTTTTTCGAAAATTCTCGTTAATCTCTCCAACTGAGCCAAATAAGCTTAGCTTGTGTTAAGAGTGAATTTCCGACGTGTTAATGCATTTTAAAGAGTTCGAACTAGTAAACTTTTGATAGCTAGTCCAGTAACTACTTTTTGACTAAGTCGTTCAGTTGGTTCCAGCTGTGTTCCGGTAGTTATTTTAAATAAATTACTTACCGTTTACCCATCCGCAAGTAATGGCAAAAATAAGGAGAAATAGTAAATAAATAAAACCGAATCCATAAAAATCCAGAGAGACATTTTTTATTTTTCGTTAATATTTATTTTTTATACAATTTCATACATTCTCATACGCACACCAACATTTTTTTACATTCACTGTACAATTTATTGCGAATAAATACATTTCTTCTCTTGTACAAAAATTTCATAACATCCAACTATTTTGGTGAAGAAGATTATATATTACGTTGTTTATTTTTATACTAACAATATTTGCTTGTAATGTAACACACTTTTTTCGCAATTAAAATAAGTAAATTTTATTATTTTAAAGCGGCTATTAATAGGTCATTAAACTTAATTCAATACAATGAAAACAGTGAAGTTTTCGTGACAGATTATATTACAAGCAAATATTAATATTTAAAACAAAAAAAACTTGGAGTGTTGAAACTATAATTTTCCCGCTTAAAATGACGTCTGTCATAACAAAAATTAAAAATATATATTTTAATATAAAAATTCTCGTTTTCCTACTGATTAAATAAAACCATTTTTGTTTAGTTAACTACACTAACATAATTTGTATTTCTCACTATTATTTATACATAGACAGTTAAATAAAAATATAAAAACATTTTCATTTTAGAATAAAGAAGGATACGTTTTCAAGGAACAATAGATACCTATAAATGCTTCGCGGAATTTGTACAATATACAAGAAAATAAAATTATATCAATATTTGAGTTTACAAAAGCACCAGTGTGAAAAAAACAAATATATTTTAAAACCTTATTCATATCTTAATATCTGTAGGTAGAAGCAACTGCCAATATTACAATTTAGGTTGGATTTTATTGTAATTTTTTAGGATTTGTTTTACAAGCTATTTGAGTTGAGCTAACGTGTTTTGAGGCCCATTTATATAAAAAAATGATATTTATTTAATTAACATAATCACGTCAAGCTGTAGAGCGGGATAAAGGTTTTAAATTTACTCTTTTCTTAACTGGCAATAGGTTCAACCTACAGAGTTGTATAAAGGTTTCCGAGTCATCGAAAACTTCATTTATGCCTATACACATAACTACACACCGACATTGCACGAGTGATGTACATTTTATTGCGTTATCCAAGATTGATTTATACAATTTCTACAAAAAGAAGAATCAGAAAGTAAAATAAAAGTATATAAAAAAATCATCCATCATCATAGAAAACTCTTAACTATCAATTTACAATAATAAAAACATTTTTTTATTTACAATATTAAATAGTAAATTATTTTTACAGAGGAACAATAATCATTAACTAATACACTACGGAGACCACTGATCCACGTTTATTTCATATCCGGTATGCTACACTCCTGTCTTATATTCAACAAATTGTCTATCATGAGAGACTTTTGCCCATTCTTCTGCTGCGTCTCGGAGTTCGCTTCGAATTCCTCGCTCGACTTAGGAGCGTAGAAAGCTGATATGGGATCAAAGGTGCAAGGGTCAGGCCGCTCGCTCTCCCTGCTTGTCCTTGACCCGAAGTACTCGTCACTCGTCTCCGTATTCTCATGAAACTCACTCGAAGACGTGACAACGTCCTCGGGCTGGGCTTCGCGCTGGTACCTCTGGAACGGGTCAAACCGCTGGCCGGGCAGGTACGGCGAGAAGCCGTAGGGCGTGGATCATGCGGCTGCCAGCTGCCTCCACATCGTATGTCACATAGTCGCCATGTACGGCCAGGAGAACGAACTGCCGGAGAGCAACATGTCCCTGATGAGGGTCTCTATGGGAGTCTTGCCAACTAATCGTACGAAGAAGAGCTGTTCTATCACTTGTGAGCTGACTGTCCTTAATGAGGGTAGTCTGAGGAGAAGTTTGCCAAACCTCGTCGGTTGGTTAGGGTACTGACTCCGGCAGTACTCTTCTAGGGCGCACTGGGACTTCTCTTGCAGACTTTCTATGTGTGGCACATCTGATAAGCCGCAAGCATCTGTAACAGGAGAAATATATGTTATTTTGTTGCTTTAAAACTATTCTGATGTGACTAGTTTCAGGACTAGAGTGGTGTGATAAAGGTTTTGTAGGAAACTAAGTTTTATATAAGTCTAAACACAAGAACAACCTGTGAGCGAATTACTTTGGGTTGACTAATGACCTTGTTTTTTTACAGAATAATAAAAATCATAACCTTACGCATCTCACACACGGCCGTCTGATCCCAAACTAGACAGAGTCTGTACTATGGTAACCAGACGGCTGATAAATATACTTATATATTTCTAAACATACATATTATCGATAAATTATACCCAGATACGGAACAAATGATCGTGCTGATCACACAATTATTAGTCCTGGGTGGGAATCTAATCCACGACCACCCCAGCAACAGTCAGGGACACTAACCACTAGGCCAGCACAATTATTCTGATGTGACTAAATTCAGGATTATAGGATACTACGGTTTTGTTGGAAACTAAGTTTTATATAAGTCTAAATACAAGGCCTTAAGCGAATTAGTTTTCCTAGGGTGGCAGATATCAATGAGGATATTCTACCCCTTCATCAGTAGACTCTTGGTGTTTCTAATCAATGTTTGTCTGATTATATATTTGTCAATATACAATTTTTTATTATGATGTTGATATAGCAGTTTACTTGCTAAATCAAAATCGCCAGACAGTTTATCACCGTTGCAGTGAATTGTTTTTCTTTAATCACCAAAAAGTGTATAAGTAACAGTTATATTATGTGAAAAAAATGCTTTTTATTTTCCTTTCCACTGTTTACAACGAGGCACTAACCTGTTATTATAATATTAATGTGACATAAATCTATTTTATTGTCACGCAAACGGCACAAATACCTGCGCTTAAAATAATAACATCGTCAAAAAATGGTTTAACGTAACAGAAAAACGTTTGGTACATTTAACTTGGTTGTTTTTGGTTGTTATGATCGACAGTAGTAATAAAAAATAAATGTACTGTAAAGTAATAATAATGGTAGTAACAGGTAAGGATGGTTCGATTTTTTTTTCATTTTCTGGTAAAGTGGGCAAAAGATGGGCCAGTTGATGGTAAGGATACGTGCAATTCAATCTTTGAATCATCTGCTCCCCTCCAAAAGGGAGGGGGTGGTTTGAGCTCCGCTAACCCCACGCTCTCATTGTATTCACCTTACGCAATTCTTTCGCTGCTGTAGCAGCAGGCCCCGTCCGCACAGCAATATTTCATCGTTTTTTTTTTTGCAAAATTCTGTAGAAATAAATCGCCACCATATCGTTCGTGTGAATTTTTTTCCACCAGTGCCAGCGTTATATATATATATATATATATATATATATATATATATATATCTGCACTGGTGGAATATATATATATATATATAGATGTGTCACAGAATTTTGCGAGAAAAAACACGGGGTAAAATATCGCTGTGCGGACGCGGCCTAAAAGCGGTTTTCTGTTAGGCTACGGTATCACTCCGGTCGAGCCGGCGCATTATTGTGCCGAAGCTCTCCCACGATGATTATAATTGAGCAGAAAGAGATGAAGAAGGTTTAAGTACCCTATTATAAGTAAGTTTAGGTATCCGCAACGTCACTCCTACTACTACTACTGTACTAACACTAAACTAAATCATACTCACTAATTTTTTATGTCTAGAAAATAATCTGGGAACATTTTCTTCTAAAATTTTTGTTATTGCCAGTTGAAAATATCAAAAACTACTAAACAATGTTGTTTAGTGTTGTGTGTTGTTTCCAATTCTCTGAGGACTATAAATTGAAATGTGTTTAGTAGCGATATTTTCTAGTTTTACTTATGGAGTGCAGTTTTTACGATTATTACTCATAGCAATTTTTACTTTTTTTTTATTCCAGATATATGCCAACGGAAAACCTTACAAAAATCTTACAAACCAATACTTTTACAAAAATATTCATTCAGATCTAAATTTTCAGTCCCTGTTCAATCATGAACATAATTGCATCACCCAGCAACAACATCTATGGCACAAGCAGTGCGGCGTAAAGTCGATGCACTGTCAACATTTCGGCCTGACCGCGTACACGTACAGCGTACGCGTTAGACGTACGAGTGCTGATTGGTGTACCACGGTTACCGGTCTGCACCCGTACAGTCCCAATATATTTTAGACGACTGGATGGCGTAGTGGTTTGTGTAACGGACTGCTATTCCAAAGGTCACGGGTTCAATTCCCGCTCAAGTCAAACATTTGTGTGCATGAACATTTGATGTTTGATTTGGTCTGGGTGTTTCTATGTATAATATGTATGTATTTACAAAAAAAAAAGTATATATGTATTTATATCAGTTGTCTAGTACCCATAGTACAAGCTCTGCTTAGTTTAGGACTAGATGGCGTTGTGTGTATGTGGTAGAATATATTATATTATATTATATTATATATTATTTAATAGAAATACCGATCAGATTTAATGCCACCATAAACGATGGCATATTTAGTTTCGACTAGTTTTATTTCTAACTTAAAGTAACTTAAATTTTAATTACAATCTTTAGACGAACGTGGGTTTAAGCTAACCTAACACCTAAATAGTTTATTTACATGTTGAATGACGTAATATGTAGTTAAAAATAAATGAACAATTATTACGAAGTGGTCAGCTTGCCATTATAACTTAACAGTTTCTTCACTTTACCGCAGGTCTTTTGTGCGGGTCTATTAGCACCTTCTTGATAAATTGTTTTCTTAAACCAATGCCGTTAAAGTGTACGATTTCGTCATTAATGGTAGCTGATACTGGCCTGTTACAATAAGGTTCAGAATAGAGTACCACAGATGGTATTTGGTACTCTATTCTGAACCTTAATGTCATCTAGTACTAAGTGCTTTTTTCCTACAAAATGGTATTTCTCAGCTTAGTACCAGAAAGTAGTATTGAGACTTAAATTTTTTGTGAACGGTACACCGCAGAAACTTTGTTTAGTAATGATTATTACGTTTACACATTCGTCACAATGTGAATAAAGTCAAGGGTTTTTTTTTTCATTTTCCTATATTACTTATAGGTATGCTCAAAGATTGAAAACGCTAATTTAGAGAAAAAAAAACAGATCACAACGCATTGTGATCACTGTCAAATATCTACATCGAGAAATTGGTGTCTAGCAATGTATATTTACAAATGTACATACGTATGTATTTTGTAAAATATTGATATTCTTCAACACACAATTTTTCCCGTAAATACGAGTATATTATTGTGAATTAAAATGTATATTTTTCAATAAATAGCATTTAGTTAAATCTTTAAGTATGAAAACGTTACAACGTTATCATCTAAATTCACCGTTAGCACCGCCATTGCGTGTACGATCAAATAAATTCCATAACCTTATCTAAGGTTTATTGTGTAAGTATTCCTAAACTGATTTATAACTATAATCGCGTACCAACCCTTCAAGTGTACAATCTTGAAGGTACAAAACAATAAGCATTAATCCATAGACCCCTAAATAAAAACGCATCAACATAATAACCCGTGAACGGTCGCAGGAGCGTAATGCGATTAGAGCGCCCGTACTTTTACGCGTAACATTAATATTTTTTATTATTATATACGAAGGTATGGCTCGGTACACAATATCGTTATGATCCCGACCAGATGTCTGCTTGGTTTGGCTAAGTATTATAAATGTCATATTTTTGTGGATTTCCCCCTTAATTTTTGGGAAGGAAGTTTGGTCCGGCGAGTAGTGAAAATTAATGCTGTATCTTACGTTTGTTTCGTAACAATGAATATAAGGGCGAAAATGGAATAGCATTTTGCGTATTTATTTACACAGAAGTAAATTAATCTTTATCTAAATCCAATTTAATTGGATCTGTACAAAAATGGAAATGTGGATAGAAATGCTAAAACATCTTTACATAGCTATTACGGTTTTCTAACCACAAACAATTCGAGACCACGATTCTCAAGACATCAACGACTAGACAACAAAAATATTAATCAACTAAATTAAAACATACGTTATTTTAATGAAACGTGTCTTCATTCAACTTCCATTAGTTCTGACAGGATCGCTCACGTGTAATTATAAATTAACCTAGATATGCGATGGCGATGAGAATTACTCGCTACAACTAAGACAATTATCGTGGATTAGCTTTTTAGCTCATTAATATTGTTTATATGGGTGCCGGGTGTTGTATCGTCGTTTGTTGTTCTCAAACCAATTTTTGACATAAACTTTCGGAAATTCAGTTCGTACATGAGTGTATATTAAATTCAGAATACAATTTATCAGAATATTTTCAAAATGTTTTTAGTGATTAGAAGATTGATAGTGAAAGCACGTTTAGTATGTGTTATTCGTAATGATGTTTATGGTAACAGATCTGTAAAAAAAATTTACCTACACATATTCTAATTATGGAAATGTTTCCTTGTGATGGTTTCACAAGAAGTATAAAGTTTTTTAAAAACTATGTAATATAATAATAATAATTATTTATTTGCCCTAATATTTTAGAATCAAGGTGAACATGGTTCTAGGTATCATAAACATCACATTATCTTATTGAACTCTGGTACCCAAGGTAAGATTAAACTTGTGGTATGGGTAACCAGGGCTCTAGCATAAATATATAGAGAAGAAGTAAAATACAAGTTGCTACAATTTTTGTTCATTTTAAATTAAAAAAATTCACGAAACTATATTTCTCAATCACAAAATAGGTTGGGATGGGTGCGCGCTTGTGTGGGTGTGTGTGTGTGTGTGTGTGTGTGTGTGTGTGTGTGTGTGTGTGTGTGTGTGCGCGCGTGTCTTGGATCGAGTCTGTATGGGTGTATGGTTATATGTATAGAAGTACATCTCAGGAGTTGCAGACAGCCCATGGAGGCTATGGGCACTGTTAGCATTACACTAAGAAGATGAAATGGCAGTGAGCAGATTATACGAAACGCAGAACAGATGACCAAATAGGGGCTGAGAGATTTTGGGATAGAGACCACGGTCTGGAAAGCACGGCGTAAGATAAGGTGGACAGATGATCTGACATGACCTATAAAATCGCATCTCGACGGTGGATACAAACACGCACAGATCGTTTCCAATGGCTCTTCTTAGAAGTCATTGAGATGACGGTTATGGAGAAGTATACTAATATAGTCATTTGGTGATCTTATATGTGGTAGAACCGACAACCGTTGGGGTAAACGAGTTCTTGAGTGGAGACTGCGCCTCGGTAAACGCAGTGTAGGACACACACAGGCTAGGCGGAGTGACGATTTGGATAAGATGGCTGGCAGGAGCTGGATGCGAGAAGCCGAAAACAATCGAAGTGGCGTGCAATAGGAGAGGCTTATCTCCAGCAGTGGACTGCGATAGGTTGATGCAGTCAGAGTGCAAAGTCCGCTGTTCCTCTTTCAAAACCCTTCAAAAACTTACGAAAGTCATTACAAAACTCGCTAAATGGTAACAATAAGGCAACTCTTACGTCACTAGAGGCCTGAACAACCTACATTTTCATTCAATAAACGCCAACTATTAATTCTAATTCATGTGGCCACGCGTCGCATCGTCTTGGGACGCGGTGACGCAATCCTGCGACGATAATTATGGTCACTTGTCCTAATTGTTCCAGCGATGCCACTAAATGATGACAGCTGCTTGATAATTGATCCAATGCGTGCATAAAACAACTTTCATCTTTAAGCTTATACAATCAAAGTTCTATTCCTCTTGTACTTTGTGTAAGCAGTGTTGATAAAAATGAAAGTAAATGATTTTGAGAGTTGTGTTCGTTGTTTAAAGTTTAATTTCGCACAAGATCTTTTTTAAAGAATATTGAAGGAAGTTGTGTGTCGTTTGTTTTATAAACTGAACAATATCTTACTTAATTTGCATTTCCGTGCAAAATGAGAGGAATGAATAGCTTTAGTTAAGGAGGGAAGTCAGTTATATACTGTATTTATTAGTGTAATCATCACTATAGTTGCACACAATTGTATAAATATGAGGGACTTTAAGGTATATCGTTTAATAGTGAAAGAAAAAGCAGGTCTATTAAATACATGTTAATGTGAATTTGTTTGTTTAATGTAATTTTAACTACTGCAAAGTATATAGAATACATTTCATCTAGAACAAAATATTGTAGTGTACCGAAGGG